TCTCCTCCCGCGGGCGCGGCCACAAACGGTACCTTGGGCGCTACTCTGCGGCGGTCGCTCCAGTCCTCCTCACAGGCCCGGAACCCCCGCCAAGCCGTACGCCGGCGCCGGCCCGTGACCCGGGTCCCGCCGCCCCGCGACAACGTCTCCGCAGCCCGCGCCGACCGCCGCCACGTTCGAAATTCGCCGCCGTGCTCACCCATTGGCTGGTAGGAGGACGTCACGTGACGTGACGACGCAGCTTCCCCTCTCCAGCACGACGTCGGGCCACACCCATTGGGCTGCGTCACGTGACGGGCTCACTCTGGGGCGGAGCCGCTCCGAGTCGCGGGACTGGTCCGGGCGGAGTGACCCAGAGACCTTAAAGGTCGGCTAGTGTCGGAGGTTCCGGACGCCTCGCCTCCCGGCCGGGCGTGATGACTCGCTCCTGATGCTCAGCCTCGCACCCTGAGGCCGGAGGATGGCTAACTCTAGGCCGGCCTGGGCTGAGACCCCCGTCCCCGCCGGACGCAGAGCAGAACAAAAGCCTTCCCGCGTCGCGGGCCTGGCTGCGCCCCGGCGGAGCTGTGCTCAGGGGCTCCCCCTTGCGGGCGGCCTGAATTACAGCCGCCCGGGAAGCGAATTGACAGGCGTGTGTGTTGCTGTTCCCGGGGCTTGCAGTTGGGTCCTGGGCGCTGACCCCGGCCTGGGCGCTGCAGGCCAGGATTCTACCCCCGGACACACTGCTCTGCTTCAGGGCTTGGCGTGGCTCACTGGAGATAAAACAGCTCCCGGACTTGCCTGGCTTCCAGCTCCGATCCTCAGATCTCAGCCCCCGGAAGAGCCAGGGCAACATTTCTGACGAAGTAACGTCAGAGTGACTCCGGGGGCGTGAAAGTTGCATATCTGCAGTTCCTGGGTGGGGCTGCTTATGTCTGCTTCCACTTCTGGAGATGGCAGGGGCTTCCCAGAAGGCAGTGGCCCCAACCTTAGCCTTCTGAGGCCTTCACACCCCTAATCCTAGCTCCTCAGGAGGCTGAGATCTGAGGATCACAGTTGGAAGCCAGCCCAGGCTGGAAAGTCCCTGACACTCTGATCCCCAATAAACTACTCAGAAAAGCTGCCAGTGGCCCTGTGGCTCGAGTGGTAGCGTGGTAGCTTTGAGCAAAAGCAGCTCATGGACTGGGCCCAGGCCCCTGGACAGACCAACAAAACAACCCTAAAAACAGCCCTAAAAGCCAAGGCAATCATTTCTAAGCATTTACTGGGTCAATTTTCAAAGCACTGCAGTTTATCTTCCTGGTGTCAGAGAAATTATCAACACTGAGGGACAGGGTGTAGAGTTTATAAGGCTTAATAGAATTTTGGTTAAGGGAAAGAACTAGTTTCTTTCAATGTTTTGAGAAACAACCCAAACACTGTTTTGTCAGTTTCTGGGAAAGCTCAAAAGTGCCCAGGTTTGGGTTTAAATACCTTGGGAAAATGTGCTTCTGTGTGGGACAAAGATCAAGGCAAGGTGCTCTAATTTGGGCCATACAAAACAGATGGGAAGGAGTCAAGGGAACCTTATAATAAGGAATTAAAAATGTTTTATTGTTACTATAAAGGTGCTTCTTCATTTGATGGCCCTGGACCTGGCACTGTCCCGGAACTCTTTTTGCTCAAGGCCACCCCTGTACCACTTGACCCACAGTGCTACTTCCAGCTTTTTTTTTTTTTCCTGTGATTAGTTAGAGAGAAGAGTCTCATACACATTTCTGCCCAGGCTGGCTTTGAACTGTGATCCTCAGATCTGAGTCTCCTGTGTAGCCAGGATTATAGGTGTGAGCCACTGGTACCCAGCTAAGAGTACATTTTTTTTTCTGGACAATGTATAATAAGGAATTTGATATAAAAATAGTTCAAGAACCTGTTTCTAAACTCTACTCTTATTCATGGCAGATGTCAAGTTAAACCGAGAGACAGTTTTACAATCTTGAACAAGATATTCAAGGCTGCAATTAGTACTGGTAATATAAATAATTATTTAGAGTTAACATATGAAGTCATTTACCATCTCTTTCCTAATTTCTCCACTTCTTATGAAAGTAGAATGGATATATATCCTGCATGTAGAAATAGCTGGAAGTTGCCTATTTCTCCTGACTCCATTAATACATGTTGTTTCTTCCTCCTCCTTCTCCTCCTCCTCCCCCTTCTCCTCCCCCCCCCTCCTCCTCCACTTTTCCCCCTCCTTTTCCTTTGTGCTGTGCAGGGGCTTAAGCTCTGTGCCTAGGATCCTGAGAAGTTTTTACTCAAGGTTAGCACTCTACCACTTGAACCACAGCTCCATTTCTGAATTTGTGTGGATAATTGGAGATGAGTCTCACAGATTTTTTTTTCTGCCCAGGCTGGCTTTGAACTGTGATCCTCAGATTGCAACCTCGTGATTAGCTAGGATTACAGGTGTGAGCTACTGGCACCTGGCTTATGTTATTTTTAGTTTTTGCTTTTTGGAGACAAGTTAGCCCAGGCTGTCCTTGAAATGGAGATTCTCTGTTTCAGCTTCCCAGGTGCTGGGATTATAGTTGTCCACCACCATACATGGCCATGTTCTTTAAAAGTGTTCATTTCAACCTTAGAAGTGATCCAGCTACCAGCCCTCCTAAAGTATTCTGAGCCAAAATATTCTTTTTTTTTTCAGCCAAGATATTACAGCAAGTTAAAAGTTAAACTTGCAGTCAGCTATTGACTTAATGATGCCTGGCATATGATAGACAATAAATAGCTATTCAAGAATTTCGGTGAATGAAATAAATAGCACTTATAGTTCAGATGTCTGGATAAACAAAGCAACACATAATTGTGTGAATACTCCTGAGCCTAATTAATGTGGTGCTTCATGAAGTGCAGTGTATGTAAGAGTCACTTGGGAGATGGATACCTGGGATCTTACATGAGGAGTTTTGCTTGTCTGCCATGGAATCAAGTAGCTGCTTTCGCAAAGAAGTAATTTGATAGTTGCTGCCTTCTGGCCACACTGATTAAGGCTAGAATCAAGAAATAGCAGATTCTTAAATCGCTGGATCAAGAAGTATTCCAAGTTTTTTATTCTTAATATTATTTTACCACCAGCTTTTTGAGTGCTTGCTGTTTGTTCTCCAAGAGCTGTCTATAAACTGCATTTAAATTCCACAGCAATCACTTCAAGTGTGTGTATTCTTATTATGTTGTTCATGGACCAAGAAATCAAGGCACAGAGAAGTTCATTCACTTGCCCAAGATGACAATACTAGGGACTAGACTGGAATTTGAACCTAAGGAATCATTCTATTAACAACAAGGCTGTGTGCTGCGACTTCCTACAGACAACCAGATTCAGCCTGGTTCATAGCCAGTCCATGGTTTGGTTGATTGTATCAACAAAGCGTGGCTCAAGCTTACAATGTTAGCTTCTTAGGAGGTTGAGATCTGAGGATCAGGTTCAGGTTCAAAACCAGCTGGAGCAGGAAAGTCTGTGAGACTCTTTTTTTTTTTGTCATGGGACTTGAACCCTGGGTCTGGGCACTGTTCCTGAGCTTTTCAGCAAAAGGCCAGCACTCTACCACTTGAGCCACAGTGCCACTTCCAATTTTCTGGTGGTTCATTGGAGATAAGAATCTCACAGACTTTCCTTTCCAGGCTGGCTTTGAACTGTGATCCTCAGATCTCAGCCTCCTGAGTAGCTAGGTGTTGGGTCTTCATCGGTCCCACAAAAGGTAGGAAAGGTAAGTGCGGTGCTTGCCCGCCCGTTCCAGCCTCCCTCAGCCCGGGAGACAATCAGACGCAGCAGGGAGTCAAGTCAAGCAGGAAGAAAACTCGTTTATTAACAGAGAGCAGCCCTTATTAAAGCAAAAAAGAGCCGGTGGCATGGCAGGGGAGGAAGAGGAGCCAATCACTGTCAAGGTCACACCCTATCATGCACCTAAGCTTCCACGGGCTGGTTACACACTGAACATAAAGCAAATCGGGCTCTGCCCACTCAACTCCCTCTCAGCGCCATCTTTGCTGCCCATGTGCTGTACAGCTAGGATTACAAGTGTGAGCCACCAGTGCCCAGCTTGTGACTCTTATCTCCAATTTACCACCAAAAAAAGCCAAAAGTGGAGTGTGGCTCAAATGGTAGAGTGCTATCCCTGAGTCAAAAAGCTAAGAGACAGTGCCCAGTCCCTGAGTTCAAGTCCAGGACTGGTACAAAGTAAAACATAGTAAGGACTTTGTGTTATCTCGCTCACAAGTTGAGCAGAGCTTATGAAATGGAAAACCAGTGAGAAATTCTTGTTTTATTTCATAGCTATTTAGAATAGTATGGCATAGTTCAACTTATTTTAACATCTTGAAAAACTTGCTCCCAGTTAGAGTGAATATTTGAAGTCACAGTGAAATCATACATTGTTTTCAAAATGTGAATGCATTTTATTTCTAATTTCATTAGTTTTGACTCTATGATATATTTTAAAATAAGAGTATAAATTTTCTCACAAATTTCTAAAATTCCAATAAGATTATTATTATTTAACTACATGTTCTTAACATTTATTATTACTACTACACATTTTTTGTTTTTAATATTTTTATTTTTATTTCTCCCCCCCAACTACACATTTTTGACATTTACATTTATTGTACTATAACAATTTACTTAAGAAGCTGAAATGGTACGCAAACTTAATATAATCATCTTCTGATTTCTATGCAGGTTCATTTTTTTAACCTAATAAAGCTTACCTGAACAAGAAAAGGTTTTGGATCAACCAGCATTCTAGACCAAAGATAGTTCAGAATGTCTCCTCTTTAGTATTAAAGATGAATTAATAAACAAAAGTTCTCTGTTTATTTGGAAATTAAAAAATCTATTCAAGGCTTCTCCCTGGCACTGATTTATGTTTAGATATGTATATGCGTGTATGTAAATGTAGTGTATATATATATATATATATATATATATATATATGTGTATATATGCAAACACACACCCTGTTTTTGAAACAGAGTCTTACTGTGTAGTTCAGGCTAGCCTGGAGCTCTTGATCCTTCTACCTCTGTTTCCTTAAGTGCTGGAATTACAGGTATATACCACCACTTCTGTCTTAAAACATATAATTTAAAAGATTCATGCAGCAATTATGTAGTGTGGTGTGGATTAACTTGGAAAGCAATGCAAACATT